AGGGCTGAAGAGGAGACAGAGACGATAGTGGGCAGTGGGAGAGAAGTCTTAGGACACAGAACACCTGGAATTGGCAAGAAAAGCAGCACCAGAAGTCTCTGCAGAAAGGTAGCTTTGTCTCCCCTCTATCTCCAAGTTTCTGGCAGGTATGACAGTCCTAACGCCTCTCAGAAATCATTCTTTCCCACTAAGGGCACCCAAACATATATCATCCCTAAAATCAAGGCACCATGTAGTTCTGGGCTTAATTTAGGTCTGGAAAAAAAAACTCATGCTCATTTCATATACAAAACAAAATGAGCTTTCCAGCTGGCACTTCTCGGTTGTAAACCAGAGAAGGGTGACCAAGCTAAGACTCTTCCCACCAGAGGCCAGGCACAGTGAGAGGCAGTACCACTCTGTGCCGCTGCTGCTGCTGGCGGTCCACGGAAGATCTCAGGCCTCATTTCCAGCTTCTCTCCTGCAGGCGTGAGTGCGGGTCTCTGGTCCGCCTTGAGATCCCAGCCCCAGCCACTGCAAGGGAGCCGCCACTCTACTCGACACATGGCCACACGGCTGGTAATTTCAAGAAAAACATCTGATGCTTATCTCAGGGAGGAAGATGCCAAATCTTCACCACTGCTATTGTTGCGGTTGACCTTCCGGCCACCATTACGTAGGGAGGGGTGAGGCTCTGGGCAGAGGAGAGATGTCAGCTGTCCTCCCGGCCCCCTGTGGGCCCTGTGGGCACCACCAGGCAGAGACAGGTCCCAGCCCAACCCAGGTGTGGCTGCGGAGTCCCAGGAACACCCAGGGTCCCTCCGAGACTGGCAGTGCGCTTCCATCTGTGGCTGCTCCATACCATGGACTGATGTTTCAGAAAGCCCAGGTTCCCAGCTGGATGCCCAGCGCCACTCAGCAGCCCCACTCCCGGGTCCCGGTCAGCTCTCTTCTCCAGCGCACAGGGCAGGATTCCAAACCTTCATCCCCTTCAAGCCCCCATGCCACCTCCTACCCCCTCCTTCTCAGCAGATGGTCTTACCTCCCACTTCAGAGGAGAAAATAGACATTATCAGGCTGGTACAACTCAGCTGCCCACTGTCCCCGCCTTCCCCCTCTGCCCCACTCACTCATCTGGACCCAGCCTCAAGAACAAAGTTCTGGCCCCAGAACAAAGGCTGCCAAAGCCTCCTGCTTCCACCTGTGTCCTTGGGGCCCAGGCCCTCCACGCGTCTCCTGCACCAGCTCTATCAGTTACTGCTCTCTCCTGAATTCCTAAGCCCCCAATTCCGCTGCCCCTTCCCCATCAGCAACAGCCTCTGGGAGGCCCCCACCTAAACCTGTGCTTGGATCTAACCACTACCCTCACTGTCCCCCCATCCAAGGCCAAACATGGAAGAGTAGTCTCCATTAACCGTCTCCACTTCCCGGGCCCTCAACTCTCTTTCACCCCCACTCACCCCATAGTCCCTGTTCTTCCCAAAAAACTCTAAGTTACCAAATCCAACATACTCTTTCCAGAGCTTTACTAATTTACATTCCACTTGGCAATATCAACTAACTCTGATAGACTCTATTTTCCAAAATGACTACAACAGTGTCTCCCACTCTAATGCTCTTCTGAAACCATGCCATTCCCCCATCAAGAGGCAGAATCTATTTCACTGCCCCTTAAGCCTAGGGTCAGCCTAGTCAAGGCCATGGCTTTCCCAGTAGTCATGTATGGATGTGAGAGTTGGACCATAGAGAAAGCTGAGCGCCAAAGAACTGATGCTTTTGAACTGTGGTGTTGGAGGAGACTCTTGAGAGTCCCTTGGACTACAAGGAGATCCAACCAGTCCATCCTAAAGATCAGTCCTGAGTGTTCAACGGAAGGACTGATGTTGAAGCTGAAACTCCACTACTTTGGCCACCTAATGTGAAGAGCTGACTCATTTGAAAAGATCCTGATGCTGGGAGGGACTGGGGGCAGGAGGAGAAAGGGACGACAGAGGATGAGATGGTTGGATGGCATCACCGACTCAATGGACATGAGTATGTGTAAACTCCGGGAGTTGGTGATGGACAGGGAGGCCTGGCGTGCTGCAGTCCATGGGGTCGTCAAGAGTCAGACATGACTGAGCGACTGAACTGAACTGAACTGAGCCTAGGGGGCCGCTGTGACTCTCACTCTTACCAATAAAGGAAGGAAGAAGTAACCTACATGACTGCCACACCCAGGTCATGAAACCATGATGTACTTTCAGTCTTATGCTCTTGGGACACTTACTCTTAGAACCCAGCCACCAGGCTTCCAGGAAGCCCACGCAGCCTTGGAGAGGCCTCCACGGAGAAGACATGAGGCCCTGACCCACAGCTCAAGCTGGGATCCCAGCCAACAGCAAGAACCCACTTGCCAGGCATGTGAGTGCATCCTCCAGCTCCCCACCTGGAACCACACAGAAGTGAGATGCATCTATCACGCCCCACCCAGACTGCAGTCAGGAGCCCAGTACTCAACTGGGGTCTTAAGCCACTCCGTTTTGAGGTGGCTCAATGTGCAGACTAGTGGTTGCATCAGTTAGGATGCTAGATAGCAGACAGAGCTCTCCTCTTGACACTGTTTTCGCTGAATGCAGATGCTCAGTCCTGGTTCTCCTCTAATCCCGCTGACCATGCCTCCTTAGTTCCCTCGGGAGCTCATCCTTCTGGGCACAGTCCCCAAATGACGATGTTCCTTACGGTTCTGTCTCTGCCCTCTCCCTTTTGTTTTAGTCTATGTAGCTTTCCTAAGCGATCTCAACTACTCCCCCAGATCCAGCTCCCATGAGTCTCCTTGCTGATAAATCCAGAAACCTGTATTCCCAGCCTGAATTATAGACAGGCTTCCCAGATGGCTCAGTGCTAAAGAATTTAACTGTCAAGTAGGAGATGGCGGGCTCGGGAAGATTCTCGGGAAGAACTTCCTGGGTTGGGAACATCCCCTAGAGAAGGAAATGGCAACACACTCCAGGATTCTTGCCTGGGAAATCCCACGGACAGAGGAGCCTGGTGGGCTATATAGTCCATGGGGTCGCGAAGAGTCCGACATGACTTTAGTGACTAAATGAGACATCCAGACAGCGATGTCTTATAGTACATGGTTGCTCCATCACCGACACTGTTTGTTCTGACATCCATGCCACCCCCTTATCTCATAAAGAAAGTACATTCCCCAGGCTCCCTTGCCAACTAGCTTCCAGCTAGATTTGGTGGCATACAGGGGGACAGGAGGAGGTGAAACACCCACACCTCAAACAGCATCTTTGGCTCCAATACCACGTGACAGACCCTATGTCCATGACACACTCCCCTCAGGTGTCCCCAGCACCTGGGATCCAGGGAACCACCCCTTCTTGTCCCTCCGCTTCAAGGGTGGCAGTGGCTTCCTGCCTTGGGTGACTATCTCCCCATCCCACTTGGCTTCTCAACAATTCTATCCCCGGTGAACCCCATGTTCTGTTTGAAACTCCCTCTGAGATGCCTAGAACAAGTTCTTTTTCCCCAACTGAACCCAGACTGATACACATAGTTAAAGGCCCCCAAGTTTAATCACAGAAGCCAGAAACATACGATTTGTTTTCACTCTCATCCATACCGGTGTCTTCCCTCAATCCACGTAAACCAAGCTGGTCACAAAGTCCTGATGCTCCCACCCCGTGAATCCATGCCTCTCCTCCACCCCCATGACGCTGCCTTGGTTCACACCACTGCTCTCTCAGAGCGGTGCAGAAGCCCCTCAGTTAGTCACCCTGGCTACAGTCTTCCTGCCTCCCCAAACATCCTCCAGACTGTTAACACACTTTTATTTCTAAGGCACGTCTGATCACGATGTTTCCCTGATTAAAATTCTTAAATGGTTCCCCACTGACTGCAAGAGAAAATCAGATCTGCTCGGTTCCCCAGTAAATACATACTTACTATGTATTCCACCCTGTACATGAGCCTAGAACCCAAGGACCTCCGTGTTCCATCCTGCCTATCTTCCCAGCCTGGCCTGCACCCACTCCCAGCTCGAACCATCTGAACCGGCTGACGCTCTCTGCGGGCACCCTGCTCCCCTGAGACTCGAGACCTTCGGCTGGGCCACCCTTCTGCTGTTCAGCAGTCTCGTGGGCGCCTCGGTGAAACCCCTCTGATACCCCCATCAGTCCAGGCCCCACGGCACCTTGCCAACACCTTAGATGGAGCTCACAGTCAAGGACTGTTTGTGTTCAGGCCTCCACTAAACGGGGGGACTCCCTGAGGATGAAGAGACAGGTCACTCACTCGTGTGTCCTATGCACCTGGCAGGTTTAGTCAAAGAGAGCTGAAAGAATAAACTAAGTGTCCAAAGTGAGGACAGGGAACCGAGGAAAGGGAAAGGAAGGAGGGGAACATGCTGGCAGGGTCAGCAGACCGCTGACCTCTGCTGGGCCTGCTGGCTACGGCCCAAGCCCTGGCCACTCACCCTTTCCCCTTGCTCGAGGCAGGGAGCTAGAAAAGTCCAGAAGCACAGGATCCACTAGGGCTGTCTCAGCGCCACTTTAGGGCATGCGCATTTGCTCATTCAGAACGAATATCAGAGAAGCAAATGGGCGATCTACATAAACATTTCTATGTGATCTTCGTTTCATGTTCAAACTCCTTGGCTGACCACATGCTCCCTTTCGTTATAATTGACCAGATTAGTATGCAGCTTTTTCTACCCCCAAGGAAATCACCTATTTGGGTCACCTCATTTCTACAACATCCCCCACCTCCACGAGGTCTCCTTGGCCCCAGCAGTTGCCCACATGTTCTGAGACCATCGCAGACAATTCCCAGGAATGAATAAAAAATCGGCCAACCCAGCCATGGGTCCCTGGGTCCCAATGTTGTCATGACACCTCCTTTGTGATCTCAAGCTCTCCTCTCTCACTCTGCGAATCAGAGGCCCACACTCCACCAGTTTCACTGGGACTGCCCAGATCCTGGGGAAACATAGAATGAGGATGAAGGGAGGGGAGGAGGAAGGCTCTCACCTCCATCAGAAGAATGTCCTTCGAGCTCTGAGCCTGCACCTTTGGGTGCTGGACCTTCACAGCCACCGTCCGCCCATCACGCAGCACGGCCTTGTGGACCTGGGCCAGGGAGGCCGCTCCCAGAGGGGTGTCATCAAAGCTCAGGAACAAATCATGAATCTGTCAAGAGAGGAGAAGAGAGGACAGGGCAATTACGAGGACTCAACTCAGAGGGGCAGGAGGAGGATGAGCCGGGGCCTCCACCAGCGGTGGCTAACGCCTCCATGACAGACTTCTCCTCAGCTGCTTTGCCTGGGTCCTTTGCAGCCATGGAAATTCACACACACCTGTCCTGACTCAGGAAGTGAGACAGAAAACACATGTGGAGGACTTGACTCACCTGAGCTTGGGAACCCAGCGCAATCTCCACTTAAAGCCAAAAAAGTGCCATCTAGAATGTCCAAGATTGTGCATCATCCGTCCGTTTAATTACCTACCACTGTACCTCCAGAGACTTCCCTGGTGGCTCAGACGGTAAAGAATATGCCTGCAAGGCAGGAGACCCAGGTTTGATCCCTGGGTCAGGACGATCCCCTGGAGAAGGGGCACCCGTCCCAGTATTCTCGCCTGGAGAATCCCATGGACAGAGGAGCCTGGTGGACTACCGTCCATGGGGTTGCAAAGAGTCGGACACGACTGACTAAGCGACGAACACTTGTACCACGTGTGCCTCCAAGGCTCTCACATATGGGTACGCTCAAAAGTTAACAGAACCTGGGCCCAGGCAGCTCAAGACAGGGGATCAGACAGAAGATGTTTCAACCCCTCCAACTGGAAAGCTCAAGGACGCGTGGGCTGGAGGCTCCAAACCCAGCAATGACCACTTGTTGCTGCCTGAGCCTCGATGAGGGTCCCCAACCCCACGCCTGACCTGGCCCCCCTGGCAGAGCTCCCAGGCTGCAGACCAGAGGCGGGCTTTCAGTCTTCATGGGTGATGCCACGCCAGGCGTCCTGGGCAGACCCCCATCCTCTGTGCCTCACTTGCTCTACGAATCGGACCATATACACCATGCTCTTTCATCTCCTCTTCCCTTCTTCCTTCCCCCCACCTCCCTCTTAGAAATGCCATCCCAGTTCTCCCGAAGGAAAAGGTCTTTCTGACTTGAATGGTATCAGCTAAATGGTCCAGATAAGAATTCTCTACCAGATGGGAAGGAGGGTCCCAAAAGCCTCTTGCAGAATCTCCCCAGGGGGGAAATCCACATCCCCTCCATTTCTTGAGTTCCCTGGATAGCCTCACAATTCTGGAAAACCCAGACATTCACACGCACACATACGCACACCCCTGTGTGTACGTCTCACACACCTCCCCTCCTCCTCACTCCAGGCTCTCAGGCCAAGGTCGATGCAGCCCCCGGGCCCCGCTGCCTCCCTCTGTCCCCCTTCTGCAGCGCCACCCCACGCTGCCCCCCAGCCCCTCGCCTCTCCTTGGACTTCCGAGGTTTGCAGGATCCAGGGTCACCCCCACCCCGTGCCTTTGTTTGCTAGGCCGCACCATCACTCCGCTAATCTCCTCTCATAAATCACTCGCTCCAGTCCTGTCATCATTTTTGGAGCTTTCACTGACTCCATGCCATTTGTCAATATCCTGCGGGGCCCAAAGGTCCAGGCGAACGCGGGAGGGGCCTCCCCTTTTCTGTCACGGGCAATGCGTCCAGACTGGCTTCCTGTCCCCCTCCTTCCTCACTTTGTACCCCCCCCCCTTACTGCCCGCTTCCCCAACCACATAACCTGTCTTTTTCCCTCCCCTCGTGAGTTCTGGGCTCCCTGAGCCCAGCTCCTTCCCACACTGTCACCCTGAATCACCCGGGGTCTCTCCACACAAGAACCCGTTATCCTGGGCCTGGGCGTAGACTAAGAACGACGGGACCACCCGCCCTCCATTCTGCATTAGAACACCAGCTCCAAACAGGCAGCGATTTTTTTTTTCTGTTTTGTTCGCTGCTGACTTCCTTGCACTTAGAACAGGACCGGAACTTGTCGGTGCTAAACAAATATTTGTTGAAGGATCCAATCCACTATTCTCTCTATTGGAGAGGGGTTGAATCAACTCTTTTCTCCTTTTGAAATGGCTGGACCACCCTGCTCCCACATCTCTCCTGCTCCAAAGGCCTCATGTGTACAAGCGCATGTCGGGAGTAGGATTTACCTGCGGGCACCCTGCCTGTTACTCCAGGGTGGGTGTGAGACCCTGGCCTGCGGAGTCAGAACCCCAGGGACCTCCTCGGGCCATCCTGATTGGATCAGAGACGGACACATGACCCAACTGGTCCAATCAGACTCACTGTTCTGTTTGACCTGTGGAAGGGATTTTTTTCTTGCTGTTCAACTCGAAGCTGAAACCTGAACGTGAAGCCTGGGGCTGCCGGGGCCACGGAGTAGACACCAGGAGGAGAGCCGGGCCGGAAGGAGTGCGAGCCGGTCACGCTGGTCCTAGCCACCCGTGGTGCCCACCCCATGTATGTTTTTTTTTTTGCTGAAGGCAGTGTGAGTTGTGTTCTGTCACACACAACTGAAGGGGTTCTGCCTGACGCAGTGTGCACTCAGGCCCCAGCTGGAAGAGATGCAAGAAACCTGGGCACAGTGCCCGGTGCCCCCCAAGAGGCTCAGTGAGTGGGAGTTCCATCCCCTTTCCACCCTCTTGCTGGACTGAGATCCAGAAACAGAAGCAGGGTGGAATTTCAGCAACGTTCCCTTCCGTTACGTAACGGCAACCACACCACTTCCTTGGAAACCCTCCGGTAATGCCTGAAGGAGCACCAAGGAGAAGGCTTTTCTGGAAAAATAGCTGTGAACTCAGACCCTCACCTCTGGCAGCTAGACTGGGCCAAGCTCCCCACTGCAAGGAGGTCTTGGGGGTCATCCGAGCCTACCCCCACCCCAAGCCTCCGCCTGGCTCCCTGGGCACATTTTGCTCATCCTCTGAGAAGGACAACCAGTCTTCGAATCCGTGTCATTGCACGGACGTTGCAGAGTCACTGCAGCCGAAGCCTGACATGGCATCACTAGGGCTGTGTGTCCAGAGAGCGGCCAGGAGGGTGGGAGGGGGCGGGGGAGGGGGAGCCGGCCAGGGCAAGCATCGCCCAGCCTCCAGGGTAAGAGGAAGGCTGGTCTCCCATAGCCCCAGGGAATGGGGAGGGGGCCTTCTACAATCCCCTGCTCCCGCCAGGGGCTGGAATGGGGGGCGATCCCAGGACCACCCAAGCCCAGGTGCCAATTCAGCACCCTGAACAAGGCCGAGCTGTGAGGACTTGCCCAAATCCCCCATTTGACCAGTGGAAGCGAAGAGAGGCGCGGAAAGGAAGGGTGCACAGGGAACCTGATGGAGAGATAGCCCACCCCTCCCCACCCCTGCCCCCCACCACCTCCCGGAGCCCTGGGAACCATCCTTCTCCCCTCTCTCAGTAAGCAAATCACACACACACACACACACACACACACACATTAATTGATTGCTAGTGAATGTTCCTAGCTGGCTTATAAAAAAAGGTAATTAAAGATTGGTGCTACAGCCTGTAATTAAATATGAATAAAGTATCTCTAAATGGAACCTTGATTCAAAGTATTCACTGAAAGTACTTTATGCTGATAGAGAATAAGGAAAAATAGACCCTGTCCCAAAAGCAGAATTATACCCCCCATGCAGCTGAAACAAACGCCACCCCCCTCCAATCAGGCCTCATCCCCCCAGCCCTTTCAGCAGAAAACCATTAGCAGAAACAAACTGCAGCATTTGCAGCAATTAGATTCAAGCAGGGCCCTCAGCTGCCTCCAGTCACTCGCAGGAACCTGCCTCCCTTTCTAGGGCTTCCCTTCCCCTGCGCTCTCATTTCTTCCCCTCTGGGTCTGGCGGCAAAATCAATTAAGTAAAACAACTACATTTTAAAATGACTAGTTATGTGCTTTTTAATTACTGTCGGCTCATGATTCAAATATATCGATGTCCCTGTCTGGAAAAGGAAAAATAATCAGAAAGAAAGTTGCTCTAATTTTGTATGATGTGTGTGTGCGTATGCGTGTGTGTATGTGTGTGTGTGTGCTGGGGAGTTTATGGACATCAGAAGGGCATGTGTGTGTGTGTGTGTGTGTGTGTGTGTGTTGGGGAGTTTATGGACATCAGAAGGGCATGTGTGTGTGTGTGTGTGTGTGTGTGTGTTGGGGAGTTTATGGACATCAGAAGGGCATGTGTGTGTGTGTGTGTGTGTGTTGGGGAGTTTATGGACATCAGAAGGGCATGTGTGTGTGTCTGTGTTGGGGAGTTTATGGACATCAGAAGGGCGTGTGTGTGTGTGTGTGTGTGTGTGTGTGTGTGTGTGTGTGTGTGTTGGGGAGTTTATGGACATCAGAAAGGCCAGAAGAAACATGTCACCCCTAGGGGTTTAGCTGACCAGAGGTTCAGGTTAAGACTTTGTAACACACAAATATATGAGATGATGAGTGTTAACTAAATTTATTGCTGTAATCATTTCACAATAAATGTAAGTCAAACCATCACGCTGTACAACTTAAGCTAATACAGTGATGAGTATCAATTACATCTCAATAAAACTAGAAGGAAAAAGATGCCAGCAGACTGGCTTCAGCTGAGGTCCAGGAATCAAGAGACCATGTGACATGATACCCCTGTCCAGGGCAGAGTGACTCCCAAGAAAATCGGCCAGGAGGAGTCCCACGAAGCCAGGTTACCGGGCAGTGTTTCCAAAATGCCACACTGAGGAGCCAAGCGCTGCCAGGTCCTCATTCAGCCCAAAATAAGGAGGCAGGAAGTCAGGATCTTTGGAGAAGCCTCAATAATAATCCCTGGGGGAGAGTTCCACTTGGGTTTTTCAGCCAGCCCCACTAGAGCCTACAGCCAGGCAGTCTCATGAGGACTGGTGCATCAGTCACAGGATGGGGAATGTCCCAGATTTTCCAGGATGATCCAATAGCAAATATCCTCTCCTGTTGCCCCCACACTCATTCACCTCAGACCTCTTCTGGATTCAGAAACAACATCCCCATATGATAAAGCTAACAAATCAAACAGACCCTGAACTGGCCAGCTCTAGAAAGAAGCAAATCCAGGCCTTGATGCCGGGGCCAAGCAGTTCCCAGTGAGGAGCCAGGACGACTGCCTGGGG